AATTTTCTTGTGCGTAGCTGTAACTTTTATTGCGTTGTTGTTTTGGAAATGCAGTCTCTCGCGAGAGAGTTGCTTGCGTTGCGCTGCATTTTGAACCCTTGTGCTCAGTTTTGGATGAGCATTCAAAGTAATAAGTTTGTGTTGAGCCCATTTAAGAAAGTTAAAGTGCGATCCCTCTAAGAGGCAATTAATAGGTAAGCAATTTAAATAAATTTAAATATAAATTTGGTAAGTGTGTGAAAATTTATGGTAAGCAAAGGCCATACTATTGCAGGCCGCAAATACTATCCTTCTCTAATATTAATTTTTATTTTCGATTGCAGGAATAATTTCATTTTCAGGTATTGTTGATAATTTGGCAGTAAGTAAATTTTAATAATAGATAATATATTAAATACCTACTTAATATTAATATTAATAATTTTTATCTTTTTTGTTTTCTTTTCTTTTTTCTTTTTTGTTTAGGAAATATTTATAATGTAATTTTTATCTTTTTTTGTTTTCTTTTCTCTTTTTTCTTTAGGAAATATTTATTATCTTATTTTTATCTTTTTTGTTTTGTTTTCCATTTTTGTTTAGGAAATATTAATAATTTTCTTTTCATCCTTTTTATTTTCTTTTCTCTTTCTTGTTTAGGAAATAAAATAGTAAAATAAATATGTATACATTTTATTAAAATAAATAAAATTTTCTGAAAATAAAAAAAGTCCTTTCTTATTTTAAGAAAAAAAATTCTATATTCAATAAAAGTACTTTCTGGATTTAAGGAAATTTTTCGCAATTTTATGGCAATTTTTCTTGATTTTAGAAAGATATTTCTGCTTTTCAGAAATTTTTTTCTAAATTTTAGAAAATTTCTTTCTAAAAAATACGGTAAATCGCCATCGACTGAAATTCATGGCGAATTTCTTGATTTAATGGCGATTTCGGGCTGTTTTTTTTTTGAGTGTATATAAAATAATGACAGTGATGGTAGAAATCAAGATAGAAGTACCTAGGATATCACTAATCTTTAGTGTATTTTATTATATATCAAAACTCTTTTTTATGTAATGTATTAATAAGGACACTAAAAAAAATACATAACTACAAACTGTCTTACAGAGAATTAATTTACTTATTAATTTGAAATGATTTTATAAAGTGTCAAAAAGTGTACTGTGAAAAAAACCATTGTCTTTTAATAAAAAATTTTGTTGCATACTTTTAGAAAACTTTATCAATACAGTGAAATTAATTATAATATATTTTTAAGATACTTTAAACCATTCTCTTTACTTATTTAAAAACAATATAGTACCTTCCACATCACTAATTATTTTCCAGGCTGCATGTGAGGATCTCTTGCACACACTTCTATCTGATTAGCAATTGCACAATTAACCCCTGGAGGCCTACACGTATGTGCGAGAAAATTGAAATTGGCTTTTAACTAGATTTTCACACCACCCCTTTCCCCTTCCCCTTTTCTCCCTTGACGGCTTTCACTGAACAATGACTTGGCATATTTTAATTAACCCATTGTGCCACAGTTCCTGCTTCGTGCCAACAATTATCATTTGCGAACGTATTCGTATTCGCATTCGCACTGCGCTCGACAAAACGGCAAAACGACGATGACAGTCAGCGGTTTTTAATTAACTTTGCAAGTCTCGCGTTTCTGCGGAAATTAAAGACTAAAAATAGCTGGTTTGTGGTTGCCTTTGATTTTAGCTAGCTTCTAGGAAATCATAGGAAAAATGGGTGAATGCTTTTCAGGAATGTGTTATAGTTTGTTGTCTTAAAGTTTTATTTTCTAAAATTTCTGTTTTCGGCTTTTTGGGAGATATTTCTGCAGTGAAAAAGGTTATTTTAGAGATTTATGGAAAATTAAAAGGCTTGTTTAATATATAATTTTTTTATCTTATAAATTGTAATTTATTAGTTTTTATAATTTTAATTGTTTCTTTTTCATTTAAAATAAAAATATATTTTTTTTAACGGAGAGAATAGTTTTAGGCAAGAAACTTCACTTCGATTTAATTAATAAGTAATAAATCTATAATAATAAGCTACTTCGGTTGAAAAATCTTTCGCAACAATTCAAGGAATTTCCTTCATTAAACAAGGGGTTATAAAACTGATGCTCATTCTACTTTTATATAGTTTTTCTACCGTTTCTAGCTATTCTTTGGCTTTCCAAAGTTTTTGTTATGTGTGAAATTTTGTGCTCGCCGCAATTTTCCCTTCAGCTGGAGCCTCCGAAAGTCCTTTGTCTGTGGTTCCCATAATGTAATGTGTGTGTGTGTATTTTTGTGGGTGGCTTCCAAGGCGACTTGGAGCGTCTTAATTAGCTAATGGTTGCCTTGCTTTACACGGCGGCCTTGCTTTTCCTTGCAGGCACGAAAAAGGGCTTAGACTGCTTGCCGGCTCAAACTCAATTTGCCACGTTACAAATTGGCCTGATTGGCATGCAAAAAAAGCGAAGAGTTTTTTACTCCTGCCTGTGCTGCATTGATAATAATGCAGGGGCTTCTCTTTACTTTGTTTGAGGCTTTGATGGCCTGTCATAGGGATTTACGGAAGCGGTGGAAATGCAATTTTCCTTCGGCAGCCTCCTTAAAATCCTCCACTTTCCCACTAATGAAGGCAATGCATTTTGAGGAGGAATCAAGGGGGGAGACCTTTCACCTACCAAAGAAACATCTGCTAAAAGGACACTTAATGGTTTATGTAAATTCTGGAAAGCGAATTTTAATATGTAGACCACATAAACATTGCGCTGGCCCTGTGGTTTTGTCTATCCGAATGGCTGGATGGCCGACTGGCTGGCTTTTATGTAAATGCCTGGCCAACAGTGCGTATGATGTACACATAAAATGTTTACGAGTGCCGTAATAAAATCAAATCAAAATTTAATGCTTACACCAGACAGGAGAGTGGAGTTCTCGAGATCCTTTTATGGCTTTGCATCCATCAAAATGTCAAATGCGCTGTCCACACGAGGTGGTCCTGGACATATGCTTACCCCAGGATCCCCTGAATCCCCGAATCCCCTAACCCAAAACCCTCTTTTGTTTGCCTTCTAGGAATATGGAGAGCTGAAGCTGAAGCATCAATCAGGTTTCGGTAGGGAAATGAATGTCGGTGCAGGAATTACGGTGGAAAAGTTTCTGCTAATCCATTTTACGTGCCTGCGATGGATATTCCAAGGGCAAGGCCAACACCACTCCGGTTCATTCGCTTCTCTGGTCGAGCATGAGAAATGAATTTACTTATCTGTTGGGGAAAATTCATGTTCCCCGTTCCTGTTCCTCCATTTGCTGCTTTTCCGATGGCTGATTTCCTCTTCCGGCGAAAGTCGTCATCAAAAAACCCAAAACATACAATTCCTTTTTCGTTTAATGTATACCAAAAAGATAAGCGGAAGGGAGATTTTATTTGAAATATACACTCCCTTGTGCTGCTTAAAAGGAAAAGCTGAACATCATTCAAATTTAAATGCTGAAATTTTATGATAGGTATTTACTCAAAAAAACAATACTTTATCTATTAAAATCATCCCAGATCAAACTTTTTTGCTAATGTATTATTTTTGGTGGATAAGTATCACTTTACGGACTACATTTTTTTTTTTTGTAGCTCTTTATTGGCAGAGAAACAGATTAACCTAGCGAGCTACTGGTTTAAGAGACACTTTCAGATTAACAAAATTATTTAAAAGTGGTCAAGACAATTAAATTAAAATTAAAAATAAAACAGGAAGAAGTATTTAAATTATAAATTTCCAAAAAATAAATATACTATTTAAACATTTTCTTTATTTATGAAATTCAAGAAAACAGCTGGTAAATTCCTCTACCCATTTCTTACAGAGCATTCGTGCCAAACAGTTATCGCAGCTCGATGGCCATTTAAGCGAAATATGAACCCTTTTGGCCGAAAGGAAATTGCTTACCAAAATGCGATAGACATTAGCAAATATGTATAGTACTTAGAGGAGCTCGTTCAAGGTTAATGCCGAACTTTCTGCGGCGGAAATTATTTTTGCGAGCGGGGCTTAAATGGCCTTGAAGGCGGGCAAAGTTTCCAAGCCTACAACAGCCTGGCGCTGATTTCGCCCACTTCATTTGCTCATCATCAAGTCAATCAAGTTTTAATGATGCCACAATATAAACCCCGCCGCCGTCCGCTGAATAATTTAAGAAATGTCCACGGGGCATTATTATTTTCTGGGTGTTCGGCTGTGTTTGTTTGTCCAGTAGTCCCCACCCAACCGATATTGCGGCGAACTTATGAGCTCAGGAGGAGAAATCTGAAATTTTAATTGCTTGCCATTTGCCTTAAGTGTCCGGCAATAATGATTGGAAATTTATGAGATTCTTAATGAATGAGTACAGATTGCTGAACATGCTTTCGGTTTCGCACGGCTTTTATTTATTGAAAAATACATTGGGTTCGGTTGCCATTTGGTAAATAGTTTTGCATTTGTCTCAGGGGCTTATACATATGCATTAAATGATATGATTTCCATTTATGGAGATTCGTATTCGACTAGCTCAATATACACACATAGATATACATTTACATTTAAATATATATATATTTACTTATAACTTGGTTTTTAGACCCCCAACGAGGGTCTCTCGTAGTTGAACTCTAAAAGTACAGACAACGCACAGTCCACAAGTATTTTATATCTTGTGCTGGCGTCTCAATTTGGTTTTTCCCTTTTTTGGTATTTGGTTTTCACTGGGTTTTAGCCAACATTTTTCATTGTTTGGCTGGCGGCTTTGCGTTCAGCCAGATTGGGGTTTAATTCATTTTCATTAGGGCGACAAGCGGTCCGCCCCGTGTGTCAATCTTCATCAGCCGGGGAGAGGAGAGCAACCCAAGCAAGTCTAAGACCTCCCAAAAACAAGCCCTTCCATTCCAGTTGGCGCCGCAGGACATTCCGCCCCTGGATTAATGGGGATGGACGGCTGGCTACTTTTCGGCTGAGTCCCGCCCTCTCCGTTCGCCATCCCTTCTTCAGTCACTATCCTATCTCGGTGTCCGGTGCTTACAACAGCCTCTCCAGATCCTCGCTCTCCGCATCGCTGATAAAGGAGTCGGTGTCCGTGAAATAATCGTCATCGCACCTGTTCCGCCGACAGCAGACCCGCCGACCCATCTCCTCGTCGCTCCAGTGCTCAAATTCCTCCTTGTGGTGCTCCAGAAGCATTAGTGAGGGAAACAAACTATCGCAGCCACTGCAGCTGCAAGGTGCCAGGAAAATGCCGGGAAAACGACAGGAGAATGCCAGGAAGTAACACGAAAGAAAGACGAGAAAGTTGATGAAAAGTGAGAGCTAGCTTAATTAAGTGCATTTCCCTTACCCAAAGTGACGCTTCTTCTGCTGGTGCGAAGCCAGCTGACGGTGACAATGGAAAGCTCGGTCGCACACGTTGCAGGTAAGCGATTCATCTGGAAATTGGAAATTTGTCGAATTTTTAGCCCAGAGTGCAGAAACAGTAGTTCCTTTTATATGGCAATGTTTTCAAGAGGTTTTATATTTATTTTTTAGTATTTCTGATGTGTTAGAAATCAGTTCGTTACATCTGGCGCCCAACGTGGGGCACGAAATATTTTAAAAAACACTTACATTTTTTAGACAAATCTAAACTGATTTAAAAGATTTTAAATATTTTACATAAAATAAATCTTATTGAAGTCTAAATGATTTAAACAATTTATTATAACTATTTAGTTTGTGAAATTAAATTTTTTAAATTAATCTATACTCTTCAAAAATATTATTCATCACTATCTAGTTTATTATCTTTAGGTTAAACTGTACCCCACCCCGCTGCCTCATCAGCTGGCTTTTGTGGACCTGGCACCTGGCACTCACCGTAGTCATCATCGTCATCGGCCATGGCCAGTGCATGCAGTCGACTTATTGTGTTTTCGTTAATCTCCTTCGATGTTGACGTGTTCCCTGCACCGAGGAGGAGGTCCTTTGATGTTTTCCCTTTCGCCTGGCAGAGGCCCAGTTCGCAGAGGCGGCTCTCCACCTCGTAGTTGCCCTGGCAATCGGCATCCGTGCAGGGTGAGAGGTTACCATTCCCGTTCCCGTTACATCCTCCAGAACCCAGTGCCAATCCAGCTGATCCTGAACCTGAACCACCGTTGACATTGACGTTGCCATTGGCTTCACCTGGTGGCTCATTGTTGGCATGGCTGTGACTGCTACACCCAGGTGTTCCCGCGTTCGCTGCCAGCATTTCGAAGTCGTCTAGCTCATCGAACGGATCATCGATTTTGTGGCCTAGTGACACGGCATCGTCGGCCTCGGCACTTAGTCGTCCATATGCCTTCCGTGGGGGCCGCTTCACATATTTGTCTGCCACAGAAAAAATGAGGTGGAAAAATGCATGAAAAACTTTGCTAAATAAAAGCATGCCTGTTCGGTATTGATAAAACATTCTGTGCAAAATGTAGCGAAAGTCCTCGGGGGTTTGTGTTTTTTTGCGAAAAGAGCTTTGTGTGTTTCGCCTTTGAGAAGGTTTCTATTTATGCTTTAATGGGTATTTCTTTTATTTATTATGTAAAAGGAAAATGTAAAATATTTAAGTATATTTTTGTATTGATTATTTTGAAGGGATATTTATGCATAGACTAATATATTTTTTAAAATATGTTAAATGCTGTTGGGTTGTAAAAACACTGAATGACTTTTAAATGGTGAATAAAATTATAGAACTATTGAAAAAAAGGATTTTATATGCTAGAGAACTGTAAAAATTCTTGCCTAAATTTTGTATAAAATAATAAAAATTCGATATAAAAATTAACTTTAATATTAAAAAAAAAATGGAAAAGCTTTTAATTGTAACTACATTTTAGTATATCCCACATCCCAACTGAAATGAAACCATATTTCATTTGTAATGTGTTTTCCCAGTCACAGGGAATGAAACAAACGCAAACACAATCGCTTTTTGATTGCTTTTGAATTGTTTGTGCTGTCAGAAAGTGCTGAACATATTTCCACTGTAATGCATTAGTTTTTCCAGTGCACAACTTTTTTTTCCGCTTAACGGGCAACTTTCTTTGTTATTCAGCTCGTCGTGGAAATTGAGAAATGTTCCTCAATGCATCAGGCAATTTATGGTGGCTTTTGTGCCGCTTTTGATATTTACACAGGCCTCTGGCGTTGAGACAAAAAGTTTCCGCTCTTCCTTATTTTTGCCTGCATGTCCTCGAAGTCTCGAAGTGATAAAATGAGATTTATTGTGGGCTTTGTTTGTGCATTGTGTGTGATTTTGGGAAAGGGACAGTGGAAACAAGACAATAAATATAGTGGATGGCGGTGAGATCCTGCAAAGCCTTTATTTACGGTGCCCCAAAAATAGATGGCAATGCTGACTTGGCCCCTGGATTTTTATGGCACACTAGCCGTTCAAACTGCCATTAGCAGCTCATTATGTGGGCTTGTCTTTGTGCTGGCTTTAATTGCAATCGAGTTCAACAGTGCGTATACGTGACGACACGAAATTGGCGATTCGGACGGCTTAATCGAATTTAGATGTTCAAGTAAACTAAAGTTAAAGTGTTTGAAAACGTTTCGAAGGGCGATAGTGGCTTAAATGGTTTAAATAATTTACCTTTATAAATGTATTTATTACATTCACATATTTTCTGTATACATATAGTCTCCAAATTCTTAGTAATAACTCGTTTAAAATGTTTTTTTTTTTGTATTTACCACATTTCACACACCAAATTACGTTCTCAAATCTTTTAAAAGACTTCTGTGGCCACTGTGTTATTTACCCACATATAAAAAACCATTAAAAGCTTCTATTATTGTGGCAGCCGGGGGAAAAACGACCATGAATATTAAAAGTGTGTCGAAAAAAGGAAATAAAATTCGCATATGGGTGGCAAGTATTCAGGGGAATTGAGGGATGGAGTGAAAAAACTGGAGAAAAGTCAGACGAGAGTGTTGTCAAAAACGCGGCAGACCGTAAAGTGAACTAAAACTCAATTTTATCGCCAAATTGTGGACCGCAGAGAGCGGCAAACATTTAACGCAATGTTTTCTGGTCGGCAAGTTGGATGGAAATGGAAATTTATGACTTCGGGCTTTAAGTTGGCCCCCGTCTCGCGTAATCTCAAAAGATAAAAGTTTCTCTCGATTTTACTTTAGAATTACAGCACAAATTATTACAAATGATGCCGCCCGCCGGCAAGAAAATATAAATCATGGCCTGGAAGAAAAGCTGGAAAGCGGCAGACAGTAGCGGCGTTATTAATACACCAGATAAATGCCTAATAATTCTTCCCATGCTGGGTTCACTGGGATTGGGATCGGGATAGGGATAGGGATACACACTTGTTTTCGAAGCCTGGCCGAATGCCAACCATAATTTATGATACATTTTGTTTGCCCCGTTGTTATTATTATTTTTCTGATGTCTGGCCGAGAGCACGAACTAATGATGCCTGGGGCCAAAACGGGCCACATTTGATGGCCAGTGAGCCAGTGAGCAGAACATAGAACGCAAACAAAACTGAAAAAAATGCGAAAACCAAAACGGACATTCTGCAGGACCTCCGGCTAATTGGCTGCAAACGCAGCTGTGATCGAAATAACAGGGTGAATATAGGAAAAATTCTTTGAAAATGTTTTCTAGGGAATTTAAAAATATTTTAGATAACTGCTGGGTTTATTTAAAATCACTTTTTAATATCAAAACAGGTGTTCAAAAGTATGCAACAAAATTTTTTAAATCCGAAACGGAAATAAATATTTCTTATAAAAGTGTCTAAAATCCTTTTAATTATATTTTCTAAATGAGCAAAGTTTAATGATAAAACGTCTACAGATTTATTTCTGCTTTCTGCTTATTATTTCCTATTGATATGTCTAAATAGTGCTTAGAAAACCTTTTTAAATATTCTTTAAAAAGAAATACATAATTTAAAACTATATTTCTATCTTTTATTTTTCCCCATTACCTAAGTAAAGTAATATTTTCATCATTTGTAGGTATGCTATTATCTTGCAAACATTTGTACATGGCCACAAACAACGCACCCCTAACCACATGCCTCGGAAAATGCTAATTGCCATTACTTGTTTTACAATTTGCCTGCGCAGGACTCACAAATTGAATGCACAAACGCATTATTATCAATGACAAATGGCTGTCATAATTATCGGTTAATGCCGCCGCCATATGTTGCCCAGAATTTGCATAACACATATAAATCACAGCCAGGCCCCCTTTTTCCACCTCCTGTGTGTTTAAGCGACAACAACAACAATACATATGTTGACGAAAGCTTAAGGGCGTCGTCTTGTTTTTGTTGTTGTCGCTCTGTCATTTGTTCAAAAGTTGGCAAATTAAATTTTTTACGATTAAATTTCGCGCTTGCCACGGATGATTGGAAAAAAATCGTCGTTGTCGCTGCTATTAATGTCATAAATGTTTGTGAATTTGCAAAGTGAGTAATGGCAATTTGCGAAGTGTGCGAAAAAGCTTTTCAATTATTACCATGACATTAAGCACATTGTTTGCATATCAATTTTAATGCATTCATCTGGGGAAATTCAATAAATATTTCTTGTTTTTCTCTATCAAGGCGAGTAAATTCTCGAGATAGGGATTCCAAAGTGGGTGGCACTGAAACTGAAGTCAACTTGTTTTTCTACTCAGCAACATCTGTTGCCAGTAGTAAATCAAATGCAAGAAGCCCTCTAAGTAACTTTATATGCCACAGCTGTTTCGCTGAGTAAACACCCGATTTAATGCACTCGGAATTTTTCATTTTCAAACATAATTATTGGAACAAATAATGGAAAGTTTCCCCATTTGGCCAAAAGCAAATTCAATCAGGAAAAATCAATACTGCCAAAAACTATCCTGTTTTGCGGGAAAACAAAGGAAGTTAGCAAACATAATTTAAAATTCGTGATTAACATTTTAATTGCATTTCGGTCATGTTTGCTTTTAATTTCCTACGTGTGTTTCTGCTAATTAATTAATAATATAACGAAATTTTAAATGCTGGTAAAAATGGACACATATTTATAAGGGTATGATATTGTTTGCATATCATTATATCATGTAGCTACATGTGTATCTCATATAATATTTTTTAATTGGGTAATTATATATGCAAATTATTAGGTTTAGAGGAATGCCTATTGTTAAAGAAGTGATTTTTTTGTGATTTTTAATAAGTTTTGTTTTAGACTTTTAAAACTAAACCATTGAAATTCCGTTATTGCATACTTTTAGGCACCTATAAAAGTGTTTTCAAAATCCTTCGATTTACTCCTCAACTTTACTGAAATTGAGATAGGGAAAAATTGAAATCCGAAGTGATTTGGTTCGCGTGGGAAAATCAACAAAGGCAACTAAAAATTTCAATTGCTTGCCTGCGGGTGAAAATCCTCCCCCCAGAACCATCCTTTATTTTTCGCCCCCTCGGCAATTTATAGGATGGTGCAAGACTTAGCGCTTAGACAAAAGCATCCTGGGACCGAAAGCCCAAAGTGTTTTCTTTTCGGCAGTCACATCCGCACCACGTTTTCTGCTTCACACACACACACGTGCTTAGCCTCATTATTGCGTGGGTTGTAGGGCCTCGGTGTTGGTGTTATTTACTTTACTTCGTTTTCCCCCAATTTTCGCCCCTGGCTTTTCCCACTTTTCCATACGGCACAGATAAGGGCTAACAATAGGGAGTATATGCAGGCAGGCACAATATACACGTACCTAAATATTCGGAGCCTATATTCCACAAGTCATTTCGAGAATTTTAATTAACTTGTTTTGATAACGAGTGAGGGTTCGGCTTATGAATAAATGCTAGGACTAAGCTGGAACATGTCTGGCATTAAAATCGAGCAGTTCGTGGAAATCTGAATACGCTTCAACATTGATCGGCCAATCGACTTGATGAAAGTCGTTCTGGGAAATTGTGAATTGTAACTGTGATTAGTCAAGAGTGCCACCGGAAACCCATTGGTTTTAGGAGCGATTAAGCACTCTGTTACTTGAAAAGATTGACTAAAGAGTTAAATTTAATAATGATATATATTCCTTTCAATAAAATTCCATTTTAAGTGATTCTAATGAGGGTTCGGTTCTCCTTGATAAAAATAAGTGGATATTTCGGTGACATTTAAATTGTGTGGTAAATTATTACAGTATAAATTAAGACTATTGTAGATTTGATATAAATAGTATATTTGTTGATCAATGTAAAAATGTTTGGTTTTGGAATATGGGAAGTACCACAGTAACACCTGGTTTTTTTAAATCATTATTGAATATAAGTATGCCTGTCTAAAAGTATGCAACAATATATTTTTAAACCAAAAGTGATACAGGAAGATGACTATGATTTATTTACTGCATACTTTTGAGCTATTTTTCTTACAGTTTTTCTTACATGTTTGAAAATTAAATATTTTGAATACTTCCTTTTATTCACCTTGTCGAATTATCCAACTAATAATCTCCCCCACTCAAAATCAGAACTTGAGCTATTTATGGTTGACTTACGCACAAGTTTGAGACTTAATCTGATTAGTCCGCTAATTATTGATGAATTATCCTAATTGAGGGCGGACTTGTGCCGGGGTAAACTGGACTAATTGATGGCCATTGCCCAGGTGTGTTGGAAACTCACCTTGTGTGCTGTTGCTGTGATTGCCGCCGTTCGAATTGCTCTTCGAGAAGCTGCAGTTGTTGTTGAAGGAGTTGAAAAAGTTGGCGGCTCCGGTGCGCCGTAAAATCCAAAACATGATTGCAGATGTGTAAGGATCCTGATTAATGAGCTGTCCGGAAAATCCCAGTTGATATGTTGCAGCAACGAATTATGCCAACTGCATTTCCACCGACGGCATTTCCACGCGACGCCTTTTTTTTTGCGCTGATAAGCGGGCTACGGAAAGTGAGACGAGGACGCGCGACGACACGATAAGCTGAGTCGGGAAAATTCCGGAAAAACTGGCGACCGTTTGGTTTGGAAGTCTTCAGCAAACTAACTCGGCTTCGGTTGGGTTTTCGGGTTTTATAGCTCCCGAAGGAAAATGAGAGCGAAAACGAAACCATCTGGTAGGGCGAGCACTCTCCTTTCAACGTAACAACGTAAGGACTTACGTTATAACCACTGCTCTTTTGCTCTTTCGACGCTTGGTAGTTGGAAAAATCAAGCAAAGCCCAAACTTGACCTTCGTCAACACTTGCATGTTGTTTGGCCCGCTGGCAGCTCATAATTTGTTTTGTTTAATAAACGATTACGTATGCGCCGTGTGGACCTCACGGACCTCAGCTGGCTACCGACGACTTCGAGCCACTAAAATGCCCATCAATCATCGGAGCACCGGAAGCGGTCGCTACTTTGTTGTCTGTCCCTGTTTAAAGTTTTATATGCGTCTTATCTGACTGGCTCAATTAGACAGCGTCTTTAACTAGTTTTGTGCACTGGGAAAAAAAAAAAATGCAATTTAATAATTATATACCTATATATTTGGCCCACTATTAATTAATAAAGTTATCATTTAATTAGGAAAAAGGAAATGAAATTTAATATATATTTTGGATTATTTTATAGATATTTATATATATATATATATATATATATATATAATTTTAATGGTTTTTTCTGTCAGCATTGGGCTTTATATTTTTATTGCAATTTTTTTCATTTTTTTCGCTTACATTTTTATGACATTTTTCCATCAGTGTTGGCGACGTGCAAAAAGAGCGGAAATGTGGAACGCTTAACAGCTGGCAGCACATGCATCCGCATCAAAGTTTTCCCCTTTATGATTAACGCTTTCGGTAAAAACAAAGACATCCCCATTAAGTTGGCGTGTTCGAGGGTTTTCCCCTCCGTTCCCTTTCCTATTCGCTTACCAAGTGCAAGTGCAAAGTTCATGTCCTGCGAATTCGTTTATTTGTTGCACGAGCGGCACGAGCGATATTAAAGCGTTTTTCAAGCACCCTCGACTTTAATGCCGCACGACAAATGCTTTTCCGCAGACAAGACTGTGATTTGATGACTCGGCTTGGGTTTCGGTTTCGGTTCGCCGATTTCTGCAGCTCGTTGGGGGCTAAGTTAACCCGATACTGATTGCCGGGGTTTTGGATGTGGCAGGAAGTCGATCCCTGCCCCCCAAAAACATACGACATACGACACATACCTTTGCCCGCATAATAGAGTCGCAATTTAATATTTAATCAGCGAGGGCTGACGCTTAACAATTCAAATTGCTGCAAATTGTGTGCGTCCTGTGAACTTTTGGCATTGGCGACATTACGAATTCATGCGCTACGTGCCAAAGTCACAACGAATCCAAATACGATTCTGCGAATATGTTTGAACTTTGTTCGAATATGTTGCGCAAACTTTTGCCCCATAAATTATGCACTATTAAAAGCTCATGCATAAGGCATGACAAGGACGGAGGACAAAGGACCCTGGACCAGAAATAACCAGAAATAATAACCACAACAAAGCATTACACATGGACGGCAATTAGATCCAATTTCGTTGGAAATGCATGGCAAAGTACTCACTTATGTACAGTTGATGTGATGTAATAAAATAGTTCGATAAATTGTTCGCATGACATTTTGGAATTCGATTAGTTAATCCTTCAACGAGCTGTAATTGCAAATGGTTTGACATTATTCCCCCATGCGGTATGCAAATTAAATTAGCCAAAAAACAAAGAGAGAAAACCTTCACATAAATCAAGTTATTTAATGCTGTCCACACAAAAGTTTTCTCCTTTCGACTCGAGCATAAACAAAGCTCTAAAAAGTTGGCAAACTGGCCACAATCAATATTGATCGAAATTCCGTTTACTTTGTCTACTTGAGCGTTTCGGCGTAGAACTTTCGGTGCTTGAATTTAATTCGCATCACACAGCTGCAATAAATTTATTCAAAATCACTAAGTGTGACGATAGTTGCGATGGCTGCCAAGTATATTCTCACCCAATGAGGATAAACGCTATTAAGTAGAAGGCGGCGCTAAGGAAATTAAATCCACCGGGATTGCTGGCCAGGGAGCCCTTATAGATGGCCGTATAAAGAGGAGCGGCGACTGGTAGTTAAATGAAATAAATCATGATAGAGGGGAAAAATATTTCAGGGGCTTATGTCTTACCAAAAGGGGCAAATGATTGTACTATGTTTCCAATTGCAAAGAGTTTACCTGTTAAGATTAAATAGATACATAGATAATACACAGAAAAAAAAATCGATTTTAAATAGGGTAATTTGTACCTTATTTTAAATCAATAAAAAACCCATATGATTAATGTCCAATTTATGATTCAAACATATCAACTTGATATATTATTATTTACTAAAAGTTCATATAAAAATTATATGTTTTCTTATCAAAATGATATAATTTCTTATAGTTATTACTTACCCGTATCGGAAGATGGTACTATATTCGAAACAATTGTTCGACACATGGGTCCTTGAATAGAGCGAAAGACTCCCAAGACCACAGATATGTACAAGTGCCAAGGTAGAAACGCAAATCCTCTGGCAATATTGCTAAGAACTTCGGAAAATAGTGAAAGCAAGGCCAATGACACCACAGACATTCCAAAAAGCTAGAAATTTAATAAATAATTTATTAAATTATTTTATTATTATTTTATTTATTAAATTACCTTTCTCAATATTAGAATGCCCAAAACAGCGCCCAGCATGGGAATTGATTGACTGACTGTCTCGAAAATAGTAAACTCACGCACTGTGAAATGAAACTGTTGACGCACGAACAAATACATCACAGTCATGACGCCATCTGAAAGAGGATATCATCACTTCAATCACTCTCTTAGGATTCCCAGAAAAACTCACTGAGCAAACTTACCGGCAACAAAAATCGAGACAAAGCCGGCCAAAGTAACCAGCCAAATGATGGTGTGGGCATTATTTTCCCTCCTCTTAAAGCAGGTGCTAAACATATCCTTAACGTGTTTAATGCTGAACAATCCAGCCTTGTCTTCTTCTTTATTTTCCAAAGGAGGCTTTTCTATCGTCTCATACTTGGGTGGATCATCACGTTTTTCCAAGGTTTTCGTTGATAAGTCATTAACTTTTTGATCTGAAACTGTTACTTCTATTTCCTTTTCCTTCTCGGGACTTTCGTCCTGATCTGGACACATTCCCAAACTTTCGGGTAGGTAGAATATAATAAAAAGTGTGGCCAAAATGATGATTAAACAAGAGAGACTCTGTACAAAGGCGGCACTTGTGGCTGCGTAGACAAAGCTGGATAATAATGACCCACTTGTCAGGGCCACAAAAAGTATTAGCTCCATGAATATCATTCTGAAAATTAAAAAATAATTTATTTTAATTGTAATAAAAAATGTTTAGTAGTTAACTGACTGTTAGATATCGTTTAGAATGGATTTTTAAGAGTTAGGACATGGGATACAAATAAAATAAAGTGGGAGATAGTTATTTTGTTACGAAAAACTTAGAATTAAATAAGTGTTCTATAATACAGAATTTTAAAATAAATAAAACATTTCGTGAAATCCTCAGCAACTGCCCTTCTTTATAACTTTAAAACCACAAATGGCCGAAAATAAAGCCTTAAAGCTTGTCACATTCCATTTTTCTTGGGCTTTTGGGTTAACAATAGGTGACACTCACCTGTAGGGTCTGGTTTTCATGTCGGTTGTGTCCGTAATAAAGCAGAAAGCAGCCACCGAAAAGACACACAGACCGCCGAGCAGAGAGTGTGGCAGAGCGGCCAAGGTGTACCACCAGGGATTAACCATATAGTAACTGGACAGCCAGCAAATGGCAGACGCAAGCAGGGCCGAAGCGGAAAAGCCTAAGAGGAAAATGTCTTACTATTTGTTTTACCATCATACTTAAGCCCTGAAAATCTTACCAACCATGGAGACAATCAGCAGGGGTTTTCGGCCATAATGATCCGACCAGGATCCAATAAATAAACCACAAACGGCTGGAACAATACTTTCGAAGAGCGTGCGCGTTAAAAACATATTGGCCACATATGCCTGAAGCTCCGTTTCAATGGCCTGAAAATCGTTAAGTTAAAGAATTTTTAAAATATTTTGTAGTAGCAAACCTGAATTTCCGCTGTGGTGTTTTTACTATCCAACAGCTTGCAGTCGGTTTCATTATATTGATAGATCACCGTGCAGGTCTGATAAATCAACTGATTGCGCATAACAGTACCTAATGGGAAGATCGTGATGAAGGTAGTTAATATAACATTACTATAATCTGAAGTTCCGCTCACCTGACAGCATGTGCGAGAACAACAGCATGAAAATCACCGGTTCTATATAGAACATGTTGAAGAGACGCCCCCATTCCAAGCTCTTAAGTTGGGCTAAGGAAGCCTTTTCAACCATTTTATTTACTTGCTTTCACTCACTAATTTTTTTTAAAATTTCTTCATTTCAAATTCACTAATCTAAAATTTCTGTATTAAATCAGATAACTTTTATATAATTTGTTTTTCAACCTTGACAATTATATTTGGCACACGTTTTGTTTGTTTGCAACTCAACTAATAATTAATTACAACAGATTCGGACTTATCGCTCCGCTGACTTTATTATTTACTCAGGCAACGCGAGAGCAGAACTCCGAGTTCCATGTCATTCGAGTTTCGATCACGAACTGAATTTGAATAGCTCACTTCAATTGCTTAAATCAGCGGTCGGCACACTCATACAATTACATTTTGTTTTATATTTGTGTGAGTAAATTGTACGGGGCGGCTTAACAGTGTGTGTGCGCAGACCGCTGTTCTACAGTATACGTGGAGGCAGCGCTCGAGCAGAACAATTTCCTATGCTCACTTAATAGGACGCTGCCGACCGCTGGCTTAAATACATTTTAAATGATGTGTGGGTACGTAATTATTTATTAAATCTAGTGGGGAATTTTTTGTTTGAGGTTTTGATAAAATCTACAATGCATGAGTTCCTAAGCTTATACAATCAGCGAAAAACTAATTTGTAAATAGATCGCGAGGGCTATACTATCATATTTGTTATGTGAGCTTTCCAAAGCAAGCATAACTTTCACAATTCTTAATACAGGGCTCTGCACTTAACCCTTTTATGCTGGCAAAGTTTTTCCCCCGTCTGGCACACACACACATATACACACACGAATTTTAAGAAAAGTCTTTTCCGCTGAGAAAAGCGAACAACTTTGCCTGTGTAAATTGCAGGCCAACACTTCCGGCAACATGTTGCGAGTGCCTTTTAACCCCTTAGCCCCTTAACCCCTTTTGCCCGCGCTATTTCGCGCTTTTTATTACTTTACTATTTTCCCCTTCATTTGGGGCTGCTCGCAGCATAAAATATGCATAAAGATTTTGAGCTTGGCACGGAGAACGTTTACCGAAATAATTTGGCAATTATTTTTGGGGTTTCAATTTGGCTTTTGAGGTGGGGGCTTTACTAGCTGTTTATTAACCGCTTGGCTAGTTAAGTATTATATTTTTTTCAACATTTTCTGTAGGTGTAATTTCGAATATTTTAATATATTTTATATTTTTATAGTAATTTTCAAGATTTCAACTTTTTTATTCAAAATTTCTTATATGATTTTTCTTCCAAATCTCCTGATGGCTTTAAAATCTTTTTATTTGAGTTTTTATTAAAAATGCCCCCAGCCAACTAACTGCAATTAGAAACATTTTCGGAAAAACACAGGAAAATAGAGGGTTCGGTGCAGCCTTCCGCCATCACGCATACGCCGCGTACGCCGCTCCCATTGTTGACAAGCTAATTGTAAACTTTTCCGCTTTGCGTTTCATTGTTTCGGGGAAAACTGTCGGGAGAACAAAGGACCGGCGGGGCATATTAAGCCCCAAACCGACCGACTGGCAGATATGAATGCCCGAAAGGAGTTGCGTCCTGCAATGCAACATACATGCTAAGTTCGTGAAACTATTGTCTTGGATTGCGTTGCGTTGCGCAACATAAAAACCGGAATGGAATGGGCCAACTGTTCACGATGTGTGCGGCTTTGTGTTGTTGACACACAAAAAACAGCAACAACTTGTGCAAACTCGGGCGAAAATTAAAAAAAAAAAAGAATGAATATATAGGGGGGTTGGCTGAAAGGAAATACCAGCCAAAACTTAAAAGGCCAGAAAAGTCGGGTAAGTCAAGAGCGCCCCAGAGAAAATGGAGGGAAAAAGCAATTTCTTAAACGCAGCACGTGCACAAATTCATTTCTGTTTGCTTTAATTATTCCGAGATGAAATGGCAAAAGGGACGCAAGTACACAGAAATCCTCCCAAGTTTCACTTTTCTCAGATGATTTATGAATGTTTTGTTGTGGGGGAAATAAGAATACCACAGAAACGCGACTTTATTGGTAGGCAGTTAAGGCCAAAATGAGAGTTGGGAATCGGAATCTGCACCCAGAAATCAGATAAGATTTTCAGAGATAAGATTTAGAATTTGGCGGCTTCTATTTAACTCTATATCTATAATCTTTAAGGTAACAAATGGGTAGAAATTTCCTTTACATGGATTATCTGATAACCCAGATAACACAACATTTTCGCACAGTTTCAATTGCTTATTAACCCTTTCAATTTTCTCCCACCCCTTTTATAAAATATTAAATTATTTTTCCCTTGCCGTTGGCGACAATTTTTAATTTGCCTTTTTGCCAATTAAAATATTAAAAAATACCTTCTTTGATGGCCAGTCCTTTTTGCCCGTCAAGTGTCCCTTACAATTAGGCCGCAAAGGCTTAGCGGCTTTTAAGTTTATAAGCTGATTTAAGCCGCAGCTGCAGCTGTTGGCCATTTGTTTGATAATAAATTTCGATTCCGATGGTGGAATCGCCCGATGGTTTTTAATTGGTCCTGGGGATTTCACATTTCTCACATTTTGCGAAATTACAGTCACTCGATTTCGTTGGCACATTGTCGAGTGCCCTTTCGAGTGGGTCTTTCGCGGCCAGTTGGCAGCCATAAAACTAACAACCATAGTTTTGCGGTGGCATTAGTTTTTGGCAGTTTTAATTGCCTGGTCAAGTGGCCATAGCCTTTGGCCATAGTTTCTGGCTGTCCAGCGCTGCAGTTGAAATCACATTTCGTTATTATTCTGGCCATAATTTTTCCGCAAATAACTCACCCGTGAAGATTGTCTACATATTATTCAATTAGTGTATAAATCTGGGTATTCATTGTTTTAGTTTTTGGTAAAGGTGTGCATGAAACATTTATTGATGGTTTGCGTACATTATTTAAAATATTAACTTATTTTAAGTTTTTTAATTATCACACAAAATAATCATTATAATTGAAATTATTGTCTGAAATAAAATTTCTCTTAATGCTAAAAATTGACTATTGGTTTTCAAATTTATTTTAAATACTTATATCTATTTTAAATATTCACAAAATAAAATTAAAGTTCAATAAACTAAATATTAAAATCTCATTAGTTTAATTTAAATTAGTAAAATATCTGTTAATTTATCTCCTTTAATTCTTAGGTCTTAAATGCTTTTTTTCCATATTTTTCTCTACATGCTTTAATTTTGTTTTGATCCCAAGTTCATCTGCTATTCGTCTGTTTTGGCCATAAAATTTGATACAAATTTAGGCGAACGGAATGCCACACATGCGGTAAGTCGCATGTTTGTTTGTTGTGGCAAATGCTTCTGACAAATTTCCGCACATCTAACAAATTTGTTATGAGCGTTTTGCACAATTTTCGGGCACGCAGTACGCAGAATGCGGCACACATGCCACTGGCAGCAGTCGAAACCGGCGAATTTAGACCATTAGTCAGGCCAAATGGAGCAGAAACATATGGGTTCTACTAAATTCGGGGAGTAGTACTGCTGCTAACAGTATATTGTGGTGTATATTCTGAATTAATGAACTCGTGATGTAGACATGTCTCACTTGGATCGCAGGCAATTTCTCATTTCTGATGAGAAACTGAAGAAATTGGAGTCCTTCTTTGTCTGCGCCAGCCTTTGGCTGCATTCCTTCGCCATTTGCATGTCTGGCTGCAATTTGCCAGCGAAATGCGGTATGTGAATGCGATAAATATTTGTTAAACAACATTTCTGCAGCTTTGCGGTTCAGTGACTCGCCCGGGCGTCGCAAATTGCGGCAAATTTCTCGCATTTATTTTCCATTTTCCCTCTTCGCTTCGAACGGAGCATTAAAAAACTTTCATAATCATAACTCTGTCTTGAAGCTGGTGCCATTGTTGCCGCCGCTGAAGCTTCTGCGACTCGAGTCGAGGACTTTTCCTTACTTTTTCAACCGAACGGCGATAAGGAGAATGGAAAATCAATACATATTTATGGGTTCATGTTGTGGGTGCGAGTGCACGTACGGAATATCAGCCGCACATATAAGTCCAAAGGAATGGCTTTCATAGGGACTTCATAGGGGCTTCGACTCTGACTCTTTTTGCAGGCTGGCCATTTGCACGTTTCGAAATTCGAATCATAAAATACTTTCCCGTACGCCCGTAGGAATGCGCAAAGGAAAATAATTTTTAATAGTTGCACATGTCCTCGCCTATCCTTTTGGGTGTGCTCACCGGAATGGGCAAAAAATTCGAGTGCAAACAGGTGAGGGTTGAAATGGGATTCTCATAAATTTCTAAGAATTTTACTTTAAGAATTTTGTGGTACATTTATTTGGATATTTTCATTTTTAGTTAAGAAAATATTGGTTTATGGTTTATTTTTAAATGTGACTAAAAGTATGCAGTGAATAAAATCATCTTTATGTTGCATAATGATTGCATACTTTTAGGCACCTTTATAAGAGAATTCAAAGCCCTAGAATATAAATCTTTATTTGGTTGTTGGTTTTATTAAATAAATTTTACCTAGAAATATTAAAATCAAACAACACTTTTTATGCATTCCCTTTCTCTCACCATAATCAAAGGTTTGCTTAAACGGAATAATGCCCTAACATTTTCTATTGACAAACCTCTTACATTCCCCTTTCTTTTCAAGTTGTTGCCCGGCAAAACTGCATTATTTAGTAACAATTAGTTTACCTGTACAGGTAACAGGTAACACGGTACCTGTTCAAACAGCTTAGTTATATGCCACAGTTGGTCGCTATTGGCGGTAATCGGCTTAGGAGCTCTCTTTCAAGAGTGCACTTTGCGGCAGAAAATTGATTTGAAATCGCACGGCACTTGCCACTAAGCCATCTCGCAAAAGGACAGCCAACGGTATTAGGCACGACTAATTTAAAATGCTATTCTTGGGAGTCAGGAATTTGATGGGCAACTTTAAAGGTCAGAATCCGAATGCCAATCAAGCGAAAGTCCAAATTCAATTCATTCCACTCGAACTCATTTAATTTAGTTATCGAATGATTGCCGCTGGAATGAAGGCAAATACTTCCCGAATAAAAAGTGCAGAATTTGGGCACTTACCAGGTGCTCAGCTTCCTCTAACAGAAGTTCCGAATCAAAGTGAAGTTTACTACAACTGACTTTTCAAGTACTTGGCAGCTGGAAACTGAAAAATCCCGCTTCTCTGGCTTTCGCTTTCATTGTCTCTGCATTTGAATGCAGTAAAGGCTTCAAAGCTTTTCACTTTTGATTGATTGCAATTGATATATATATCTATCTCTGCCATGTTGCTTGTGCCACTATGGCGAGAGTGGAAAATTTGAAATTGAAATGGGCGGTACTCGGCGAAAAATCGATTGATTTTCATTTCCCGCATCTGTTGGCTCTTGTTTAGCTAAGATTGAATGTTTTTGGGGATATTTGAAAATAGAATAAATATTCCTGCGAGCATAGAAATTATTTTAATATTATTTTCTAGCTCACAATAATTTTCCTCTGAATATTTGGACAAATTTAGATTTCAATCGATGGCTTTAATTGGCCAATAACTGACGAATATGCGGTATCACAATATAGTTACGAAAGTAATCGGCTTAAGAGCTCCCACTTGGCAGTGCAATTTAGTGCATCAAATGGATTTGCAATGGCACTTGTGTCTAAGCCAGATTACCACGACAGCCAATGGCCTTAAGCACAAGTAATTTAAAGGGTGTAGGATTGCTTGTCTTTTGGCTAAGATTGCTTTCGGCCCAAAAGTAGGCAACAGAGTTTGGTCTACATGTTTTAGAAAATATAGTCTCTTGAGCCAGAACTCCCAAAACTTCACCAAATTGGTGAGTAGGCTTGAGCGACAGGTCGGACTCAGGGTCCCGACCCGAAGTCAATTTCGTTTGGAGTCACACCAAAATTACCAGTGGATCGAAGAAGAAGTTAGTTGCAAGTGCAAAGATCAAAGTTACACAAATTAAAGGAAATCCATAATTTCCAAAATTCCCGGCAATCGCCGTTGCAAGTGGCTTAAAAACCAAAAAAAACACAAGTGCTAAAGTGCCAACCCCTAGTGGGTAAGTTTTTTTGAGTGCGAGAAGTTGATAAAGTGGTGTTTGAACGCCCTAATGTTTTTAGGTGGCACCTAATTACATAACCCCGGTCCGCCAAAAGCCAGGCTTGGGCGTAAGAGGCGTCTGCAGAACGAAAGGCCAACCGGAAGCAATCTCAAAATCGCAAAAGGCCAACCGATCAATCAGCACCAGCAGCAGCAGCAGAATCCGAGATCCCTCAGCAGCAACCAAAGCGCCGAGAATTTCATATTTATATTTATATTATCTACATATTTATTCTACTTTCTACTTCTACGTTTATATGTTGTAGAATAGCCCAGTAGCCAGCGAAATTTAGGCTAGGGTCCATTTACCGGCAATACAGTCCGTAAGCCGTAGGGAAATATAGCCCAAGAAAAAAAAATGAACTAATCAACCCCTCAAATACAAAATCATTTCTAATTACATTTAAAAACTTAAAGTAACGAATTTTACGCGGCATTTTACGCCGCTAGGAGCAGATCAACAGCTGAAATTTAGTTTAAGTAGTTTTAAGAGTATAGCAATCAAGAGAGAAGGTCAATAACAGGAAAATATGCATTAGAGCTGAGCAGTCCCGTCTTTCCATGTACAATTCCCTTCCCTCTCCCATAACTTAACGGCAGAGTACCGTACCGCTGAAGATTACGAGTAAGGCGAGTGAGAGTAACTTAAGCAATCTCTTAAGTAGTTGAGGTTCTCTTTCACAGGCCCCTTCGAGAAGCGCTTCATCGTGGGAAACAAAGTGAGTCCATTGTAATGAATCTCAACTACCTTTTTTTTTTAAATAACACAAAAGTCCAAAGAGACAACAAACATTAAAATTTAACCCCTTACTAAATGCCGTAATAAAAATAAAAAAAAAAATTAAAGAAAACTTCAAATTCCAAAAAATTTCCTCCCCATAAAGCCCAAACCACAACTCCCTGCTCAATAAAATAAAATTTAAAGTCTCACATATAATGGCATAATTTAACATACATACATTCTACCCATTATACCCGCTCTCTACATTTGTATTATTTCATGTAAAATCTAGATGTTATATACATGAACCCAGAAGTATTCAGCGATCGCTAAATTTAATTTTTATTCATTAAATTCGCATTTTTAAGTTCAATCTTTATGTTAATCACTTCTTAGGATCCTAATGCTCTTGGTTAGAATTAATTTTTGTCAGTTAATAGGATTATTGTATGTTTAAAAATAAAATTTATAATGTTCACTGAAGTTGAGTAGAGTCAATAGGGAAGCCATGCGTCGTCGAATGTTATCTGTCGTGTAAAGTGTAGTCGCCTTTTAGGGATCGCCATATATATATCTGGTCGATGGTGATCATGGTAGGGAGGGCAAGTCAGCACAAACAACCGCTGGCATAAAGGCACTTCATCCTTGTTCGTCCTTGTCTGTCCTTTGCTAGTCAATAGTCCGGTCCATTAGTCCTGCGGAGATCCTCGTACCCTTTAGCACGCGAAGTAATAAGATTTTGTTGTTCGTCTATAGAGCAAGTAGCAGCGTTCCTAAAACCTATCCCCGACCCCCCTCTACTGGTAACTCTTGCCGGAACCAGCGCGTGCTCAACGTAGGCTACAAATTACACCAGCTCTCGAAACGTAGTTCGCTACAAGGGGAAGTCTGAGAAACCATCTGGAGTTTTAGATGAAAACTTCTAAGGTTGAGGCAGTTGTAGTGGTAAATACCCATCCAGTTCGTTCCATTCCACATGACATCATTTAATTCAGTTTCGAATGAATGAATAAATGGCAACGGAATCAAAGGGCGCACTTGTAGACACACAGATGCCTCAAGTTTGCTTACATTTTTATGGCTTCAACACTTACCAGGTGCTCAGCTTGGCTTGGCAGTTGCTGGGATGTTCGATGGCTGAGAAATTGACTGCCAAGTGAAGTACATCCTGAAGTATTCAGAAGAGAAGGAGGATGATGCCCTGCAGTGGAAAGTAGGTTCATACTTTGCCTGTTTCTGTCACGGCTCTACTTTACTTTTATGTTTTTGTTTTAAAGAAAAAATGGTGAACATTTTCAGGAAATTTGAAAAAAGAAGTTTTCCGAAAAATATTTATAGGTTAACCATTAAATATTTTAATTCATGGTCTGAATAATATTTCATTTATTTTTATTCGATTTTTACAGTTTTAAGAAGGAAACATAAATACAGTGGTTACTGAAAATATTGGCAAATTCTTAATATAGTTAATAAATTATTGTTTGTTCGTTGGGAATATGCAAACTATTGTTATAAAACTAATGTGATCTGCTTGTGTAGTTAGTGGATGAGGTGGTCATGGACTGCAGTTCAGCGGTTCGCTTCTGAACATCCATCTTCATCTTGGTGGGGCAAATCAGACCCACCCACAACCGACGGTTTGCCGAGTCCAAAAGCACGAAATAGACGAACATCACAAAGCCCTGCATGGTGGCCGTGATGCAAAATAGGTACGAAAAGGCCACACCTGCCTGCATGAAGGCGAAGATTCCGAAGATCCAAGTGAGACCTAGCAAAAAGAACAGCATAATGGAGAGTCGAATCTGCTTGATCACCATTTTCTTTTCGGACTTATGGATGCTTTGGCTTAAAGAGTGCGAAATGCTGTAGAAAACATAGACGAAGATCACCAAGTTCGAGACTGTAATCATGGATACGGGGAGAACCACTCCGAAAATTAGACCATATCCGGAGGGATAACAGATGCCGGTGTCCGTGGACAATTGAGCTTTCGTGGGAATGTATGAATCGGGATCTATAAGGGCCACTAGCAAGGTGGGAACCAAGGGCAGGGCCCACGCAACAATGGCTGCTTTTAGGATGTATCGTGGAGGTCTCTCGATTCCGATTACAGTAACATATCGTTGGAACTGCAGAAAGGCGATGATCAGCATCCAGCTGAAGAGAACCAGAATGGAGTACTGCAGAGCAGCTCCCAAAGCCACACAACGAACTGTATCTCCATTGGTCACCAGCTTTTCCGATACATCATCTGTGTTTAGGAACACAAAGAGCACCATCTGAAGACACATAGCCAGGCAAAGATGAAGGAGAACCTTTGTGGAGGCCTGACTGCGCCAACTTTTGAAGATAGCTGCTGTTAAAAAGATTCCCAGGATTCCTAGGAGGGAGAGACTGCAACCCACGATCGAAATAATGTCCAGAACTTTCTCATTTATGGGGGTTATCAGAACCTCCTCGCCCAGATCGTTGGTTCTATAGCTGCCGCCCACCAGAAAGGCAAACTGAGTGAGATGATCCGTGTGACACTCGATGATGAGATCTTTCAGGAGATTTGAGCTGTTACTAGTAGTTACTCCTTCGTTCGACCAAGTCTGGTAGTTCCAAAAACCGCAGCCACTGCCCGAAGTTAAAGCATTTGCATCCGGATCACGAAGGTTCTCGTTACGAAGAAGAAAGGGTAGCGGTTGGGGAAGAATGTTATCTATTAAATAGAGAGATAAGTCAAAATACTGGATACAAAATGACAATTATACCTACTTTCCAATCCTGGTATAGAAATGGAGATCACCTTGCTGCGGGGCCTTCGACTACGTTGAAGAGAGGTTTCCACGAAGAGAGCATCGTGGGCATAAATCTTAAATATCAAGTAGGTAACTCCCTTGCCTTTAACATCCTTCCATAGACTCTCTGGGAGAAAAGCAGCCGTCTCCAGGTCAGATTCCCGTTTTATTTTATCCAAATCTTCCGAGAAACGTAGAAAGCGATACCAGAAGCCGCTCGGGGAAGCCCTTCGATTCTCAGCTGAGGCAGAAAATATAGCAATTCCAGTTATAAAATCACATTCGGGATTGGCGAAGAAAACGCTAATGTTGCCGGTAATCAAAGCTTGAATTCCTATATCAGAGAGGTTATATGTTTCCACTCCAGTAGTAGCCGTTTCGGCTTCATCACTCATGGGTTTCACTACTACTTTCCCACACTGCTCCTTGGGAACCAATTGCTGCGGCAGAGCATCCATGTAGTTCTCAAACTGGTTTAGCAGTGTATTTGTGGCATTTAGCTGGGCCGAAAGACGCAGGACCTGACTGTCACAGGACATGATCTCCTTGCAGACACTGACCAAATCCACAATGACCGCCGCATCCTTGTCCTGTTGCATCAGGGCTCCGAACATCTGACCCGTCATATGGACATCGACGGGCAGGAGACTCCTGTCCCTTTGGCGAAAAATAGTCCTCATCAACCCGGTCATCTCACGACGTCCCTGGGTGTCATTGGTGCGTCTCCTCCCTTCGAGGACTTCATCGTGTAGGGTATTCAAGTCCTCCGAGATTGTTTGCTCTCTAAAACGCCGAAGACAAACCACAGGATCCCACTGATCAGTAGCCTCCCATTCAGCTCGATAGTCCTTCAGTTTGCACTCCCTCGTCACAGGCATTCCATTTCGCAGTAGACAAACATCGTGCAAAGTGGCTCTTTCCCCTATCTTGGCCCTTTTCCATTTATTCTGATGCGGCGTCTGATCGTGATTGCGGGTTATATAGTCGTGCTGAAATCCCTCCGGCTCGCAGAACATTGAATCACAGTAAATCAGGTTAGTTTTCTTGGTACCAGCGGGATATCTTTCATCCTCCTCCTCACAGTGTTTGTATTCACCACTCTGCGAACACAATTGTCTTTCTTTTGGGCACTTGGCATAAACGGGAGAGGCCAAGGCCAAGGCAAAGAAAAAAAGCTTTACGCATAAGTCGAAATTCATGGCTAATGACTCAGCTGCCACAGCTGTTTGCAGTTCTCCGAAATTCTGTTTATGGATAGGTACTTTTTCACGTCCGACTCTCTGGAAATATCGCGGCACACTGAACTGAACTGAACAATCGATTAGATTTCCGTTGTGTTTTTTTGTTATCAGTTGCCACCACGATCGCTAATCGAAACATTTGGTAGATCACTCAATACTCCAAGAAAAAAAAACCTCAGGTCTAGCGACCTTTAATATAATTTACATTGTGATTAACACGACGGCGGCAATCGAAGAAGAATTCGGACGGACCCCTTTGAGGCAGGGAAGTAAAACCGAACTTGTGACGTCGTCTTTATTTGTGCAAATAGCAATTTCACGCCTTTTTACCGGTCTCTTTCGGTTTTAAATACTCCGACTGATTCACTACCTTCGTACTGGAATTATAAGATAAGAAGCTCTTACCCGGTAAACACGAAACACGAATGAAAAACGATGACGAGCGGCTATCAGTCATTATACGTATAATTACGATATTGTTATTAATGGGTATTTATATCGTAACATTGATTAGTATTAAGTATTTATATAAAATATTGTTTATTATTTAAATAATATTATATATATTTTATTGGAGTATTTCTCTACAAATAAAATTGTTTTTAAATCTTATAAATATTAAAATTGAGAGTTTTGGTTAAATCTATTATTTATTTAATGGAATAAAGAAGAAATACAGAGCTCTTTTAAATTGCTATTTTTTTATTCTATATTGCGATCCTCCATGTGGGTGGAAGTGGTGGTTATCGACTAAAGCTGTGCGGTTCGCTTCTGCACATCCACCTTAATTCTTAAAAAATCCTGTTTTAAACGTAGGTTAATCAAATATTTTGTAAATGTTAATACGTAATATAAGTTGTTTGGATTGTATAAGTAGCCAGGTAAGGTATATCCGTTGGCGAAATAAATAAATTCTTCTTTGACAGAATAGACCCACCCAAGCCCTATATTTTTCTGGGTCCTAAAGCACGAAGTAGACAAACATTACGAATCCCTGCAAGGTGGCCATAGTGAAAAAAGGTACGATAAGGTCAGGCCCACTTGAATAAAGGCCAGGATTCCGAAGATCCAGGTGAGACCAGGATCAGACCAAGTCCCGATGGATAGCAGATGCTAGAGTCTCTGGATAGTTCGGCCGCAGAGGGTAGATACAAATCGGAGTCTAGATAGGCCACTAGCAGGGTGGGAACGAATGGCAGGGACAAGGCCGCAAGGGCAGACTTCAGAATATTATTTCTAGGTCTCTTAATTCTAATGTTTCTGGAGATCTTATAGCTGCCGTAGGAACGGTCGGAAAATTAAATGGAAATTAATAGAAAAAAATTTATTTTATTTTATTTTTATTAAATTTTTTCTTCTCGGAAATAAAGCTTTTCTTTAACATTTCAAAACTTTTAAATTAAACGTCTATAGCTGCTATAGGAAGGATAAAAAATTTGATGGGTGTAACATATACGCAAGTAAATCTACATTTAAGGTAATAAGCTTCGACTGGCCGAAGCTAGCTTCCTTTCTTGTTTAACATGTCAATTAGTCTAGAAAAGTCAGCTGAGATCTCTGTTATCATTTCACTAAGTGCCTTCTTCTTTAAGAAGGCCAGATAAATCACCATCTGTCAAGCAAAATTCATAGCTGCATTATAGGTTATATTTGCAATTATCCGATATTGTTTTTCCACTTAACGAAGAATTTTCTGCCATCCGACTTTTCCGAACTAAAGCACTGTTTCTGTCACGGCTTTCTGTGACACCCCTGAACATAATTTAATATTAATAAATCACATGGATACAATTTCATTCTTTTATTCAATTTTTACAATTTTAAGAAGGAATAAATTCATAAATTCAATGGTAACTAAAAATATTGGTAAACTCTCTTAATAAATTATTGGTTGTTGTTGGTGGATGAGGTGGCCATGGACTGCAGTTCAGCGGTTCGCTTTTGGACATCCATCTCATTCTTTGGGGGGCAAATCAGGCCCACCCACAGCCGACGGCTTGCCGAGTCCAAGAGGACAAAGTAGATGAACATCACAAAGCCCTGCATGGTGGCCGTGATGCAGAAGAGGTACGAAAAGGCCACACCTGCCTGCATGGAGGCGAAGACTCCAAAGATCCAGGTGAGACCCAGCAAAAAGAACAGCATAATCGACAGTCGGATCTGCTTGATCACCATTTTCTTCTCAGACTTATGGATGCTCTGGCTTAAAGAGTGCGAAATGCTGTAGAAAACATAGACGAAGATCACCAGGTTGCAAACTGTGATTATGGTTACAGGGAGAAACACTCCGAAAATTAGACCATATCCGGAGGGATAACAGATGCCAGTGTCCGTGGACAATTGAGCAGCCGTGGGAATGTACGAATCGGGATCTATAAATGCCACCAGGAGGGTGGGAACCAAAGGCAGAGCCCAGGCCAGAATGGCTGCTTTTAGAGTGTATCGTGGAGGACTCTCTATTCTTATTACGGTTACATATCGTTGGAACTGCAGAAAGGCGATGATCAGCATCCAGCTAAAGAGAACCAGAATGGAGTACTGGAGGGCTGCACCCAAAGCCACGCAAAAAACTGTTTCTCCATTGGTCACGAGCTTTTCCGATATATCATCTGTGTTTAGGAAGACGAAGAGCACCATCTGAAGACACATAGCTAGGCAAAGGTGGAGCAGAACCTTTGTGGAGGCCTGACTGCGCCAGCTTTTGAAGATAGCTGCTGTTAAGAAGATTCCCAGGATACCCAGAAGGGAGAGACTGCATCCCACGATCGAGATAATGTCCAGAACTTTCTCATTTATGGGTATTTTCAGATCCTCCTCGCCAAGGTCGTTGGTTCGATAGCTGCCACCCACCAGAAAGGCAAACTGTGTGAGATGATCCGTGTGACACTCGATGATGGGATCTTTCAGGAGATTTGAGCTGCTACTGGTAGTTACTCCTTCGTTCGACCAAGTCTGGTAGTTCCAAAAACCGCACCCACTGCCCAAAGTTGAAGCATTTGCATCCGGATCACGAAGGTTCTCGTTGCGAAGAAGAAAGGGTAGCGGTTGGGGAAGAATGTTATCTGTTAAATGGAGGAGTAAATTAAAATACTGGAAACAAAATGACAATTATACCTACTTTCCAATCCTGGTATAGAAATGGAGATCACCTTGCTGCGGGGCCTTCGACTACGTTGAAGAGAGGTTTCCACGAAGAGAGCATCGTGGGCATAAATCTTAAATATCAAGTAGGTAACTCCCTTGCCTTTAACATCCTTCCATAGACTCTCTGGGAGAAAAGCAGCCGTCTCCAGGTCAGATTCCCGTTTTATTTTATCCAAATCTTCCGAGAAACGTAGAAAGCGATACCAGAAGCCGCTCGGGGAAGCCCTTCGATTCTCAGCTGAGGCAGAAAATATAGCAATTCCAGTTATAAAATCACATTCGGGATTGGCGAAGAAAACGCTAATGTTGCCGGTAATCAAAGCTTGAATTCCTATATCAGAGAGGTTATATGTTTCCACTCCAGTAGTAGCCGTTTCGGCTTCATCACTCATGGGTTTCACTACTACTTTCCCACACTGCTCCTTGGGAACCAATTGCTGCGGCAGAGCATCCATGTAGTTCTCAAACTGGTTTAGCAGGGTATTTGTGGCATTCAGTTGGGCGGAAAGGCGCAGGACCTGACTGTCACAGGACATGATCTCCTTGCAGACACTGACCAAATCCACACTGACCGCCGCATCCTTGTCCTGTTGCATCAGGGTTCCGAACATCTGACCCGTCATATGGACATCGACGGGCAGGAGACTCCTGTCCCTTTGGCGAAAAATAGTCCTCATCAACCCGGTCATCTCACGACGTCCCTGGGTGTCATTGGTGCGTCTCCTCCCTTCGAGGACTTCATCGTGTAGGGTATTCAATTCCTCCGAGATCGTTTGCTCTCTAAAACGACGGAGACAAACCACAGGATCCCACTGATCAGTAGGCTCCCATTCAGCTCGATAGTCCTTCAGTTTGCACTCCCTCGTGACAGGCATTCCATTTCGCAGTACACAAACATCGTGTAAGGTGGCTCTTTCCCCTATCTTGGCCCTTTTCCATTTGTTCTGATGCGGTGTCTGATCGTGATTGCGGGTTATATAGTCGTGCTCGAAGCCCTCCGGCTCGCACAACATTGAATCACAGTAAATCAGGTTGGTTTTCTTGGTTCCAGCGGGATATCTCTCATCATCCTCCTCACAGTGTTTGTATTCACCACTCTGCGAACACAATTGTCTTTCCTTGGGGCACTTGGCATAACCGGGAGAGGCCAAGGCCAAGACCAAAAAAAGCTTTACGCATAAGTCAAAATTCATGGCTAATGGCTCAGATGCCCCAGCTGTTTGCAGTTCTCTGAAATTCTGTTTATGGATAGGTACTTTTTTGCAGGACCGACTCTCTGGAAATATCGCGGCACACTGAACTGAACTGAACAATCGATTAGATCACAGTTGTGTTTCGTTATCAGTTACCACTACGATCGCTAATCGAAACGTTTGGTAGATCACTCAATACTCAAAGAAAAAGAAACCTCAAGTCCAGCGACCTTTAATATAATTTACATTGTGATTAACACGACGGGAGGAATCGATGAAGAATTCCGACGGACCACTTTGAGGCAGGGAAGTAACACCGAATTGGTGACTTCGTCTTTATTTGTGCAAATAGCAATTTCACGCCTTTTTACCGGTCTCTTTCGGGTTTAAATACTCCGACTGATTCACTACTTGCGTACTGGAATCATAAGATAAGAAGCTCTTAACCGGTAAAGACAAAACACGAATGAAAAACAATGACGAGCTAGGCTATCAGTGAATGTGTACAAGTATATTTACGTTATTATTATCAATGGTTATGAGTATCGTAACATTAAATAGTACTAAGTATTTGAACATCAGAAATATATTATTAGAGTCTTTAACCACAAATAAGACGCTATACAAATCTTAAGAATATTTAGATTATCAATTTTGCTTAAATCTTTAATTATTTAACTTTTCTTAAATCAGTCTTAAAAAAGAAG